GGGGTTAATGGATAGATAATGTGCAGCACCAGATTGTCATAGCTACATTTTGCAGTCTACAAAGGTCCTTTGGGACTCTGCTTGAAGAGCCTGTTGGTTGGCTGGAAGCTTTCACTGTCAAGCATCTTCCCCCAGTGGCCCTTTGCTTAGGATTAATCTACAGAGAAATAATTTGCTTCCATCAACAGCCTTGGTGCTTGTGACAGATCAAACACATCTCCCTCAGCAACTTTGATCTGTGCTTGTTCCTTAATCCACTAACATCTGGGTACAATTTGTCAGGTAACAGCAGATGAATGCTAGTCAAAGGAGTTAATTAGTGGAGTGTGTGCTGTTTGCAAGCGTTATGTGAAAGTGAGGAGCGGTTTGAAAAATAACCGCACAAACACCCCCCCCCCACCCTCCAAAAATGTTCGCAATCGGAATGCATTTTAATTGCCTACAAATACACAGTCACTACAGTTTATAGTAAATCCTGTAAAGCTCTTTGAGATGTTTTGACAAGGAGATGAAGCACTATATCAAATGCAAAGATTATTACATTATTAGGATTGTGGCAGTTCCAAATGGTTCTGTTTGTATTCCATATGCTGCTTCCCCTATTCCATTTCATGCAGAAGGCTATTATTTAGGGATAATTACTTTCTATTTCACTCAGTAACTAAGGAGCGATAAATAATATAGAATTAAACTCCCCCAATCATTTTATCAAAGTACCGTGTTTTTTTCTGTGTGTGTGTGTGTGTATATTTGTTTGAAGGCTGTAAATTCTGGCAATCTGCTGCAAAATAAAAAGCACACTGATGACTTTAGACCACTGTTTTGCCAATGTCATTAAGGACATTGTGTAGCAGTGTCAAACCAATACAATCACTCACTCCTACAATAGGGGAACTGCTCCCACATAAGAAAACTGCAAAATATGTCCTGGGCTGTTGTACAAGCCTGTAATCTATTCGAGGGCAAATTTACCATTTGCGAGATGCTCAGAATTTGCTTTCATTAGTTTTATGACATCTGATTTTGATTGGACTACTGCCTTGCAACTCTCCCACACCTGTACATAAATCAATAAAGGTTAAAGTCATTGACAGTATAAGTCAATTCAATCAACGTGCGATCTTTGGCAAATTTATGCACTTGTTTAAAATATGTGCGGTAGATAGATAATTGTCGACAATTAAGTTTAACCTGATATGATACTCACTACTGTAGTTTCCATTTCCTTATTATTATTATTTAATCATTTCCTTTTTTATTCAACAAACTATTCACTTTCACAAGAGTGGCCAAAATTTGAGACTTTCTGTTTTATAAACTCGCGGCAGCAGAGATAAAAGCCAAAGTCTTGATTGATTCAGAAAATGGGATATTTTCTCGACAAACTTTACCACTGCTCTGAGTCACTTTTGTCTGTTCAGTCGGACCTTCATGAGATTCCCTGCCCTCGCGGGTGTAACATTGCGATGCATTAGTCCAAGCAGTTCTGATGCATTGGAAACATTCAAGCGATTCCTACAATCAATGCAGGAACCAAGGGCTTCAGAATTGTTTTAGAATTAGATCACAGCATGTCAAGGAGAGGTGCAATGCTGAGATCTCTGGTTGAGAACCACATTGCAGGCAACCCTTCCACTTACTGCGACTCTGCTGGGTGGAATAAACCCAATGCTCTCGCGCACAGCTTTGAGCCTGTTAATAAACCACTCAAGCATTTCTCTCTTAATGCCTCCGACACACTCCTAAGAAATCTATTAGCCATTCCTGCTTAGTTATTTTGGACGGACAGCTACTGTAAAACGTTTCATTCTTGCCTTTTGCTAACCCTAGAAATAGCAAGTCCTAGCACATGATTTTAATTGCTGCTGTACACCTACAACATACAGTCATTACACTTTACAATCTAATATTTCACAGTATCCTGTGAAGCGCTAAGGCATATCTTGAAAGGCGCTGTATAAAATGCAAAGATTATTAATGGTCAATTCTTGTTATTTGAACAATATATCAGACTTCCAATCACTTGTTGGGATATCTTCACATGTTTTTTCTGAAAGTTGTATATTTCCTGTTTCATTTCAATGTCTTATTATAATTGTTTCATTTGATATAGCGCCTTTCATGTTGGACAGCGCTTCACCGGATACACAGTGAAGTGTAGTGACTTTATATTTTGTAAATGTGTGGCAGCTAATTTGCACACAGCAATGTCCCACAAACAGCCCTGAAGTGAATGACGTATTTTATTTGGGGGATTGTTAGCCAGGACTGCAGGGAACTCTTTTCTTAGTTGGTCTCAAGTAAATTTGGCAAAAACATTTTTACATCTCTATACACGTGGCGTGGGTTTTTTGTAGGACATAGATTATTAACTGTCTTGTTGAGAAGATGTTCCAAGTGAGCATTAAAATCCTTAGTTGGTCAACAGAAAGACGGCACATAACATCGAGAGGAAAAACTCGACTTTCCAGTTTAATGTTGAATTCTTGGAAACACAACACACGGGACCTGAGGCACTCCCTTCACTGATTTGTCACTAGAGATTAGTGAGGACCAGTCATGTCATACTCACATCTGTGGGCTTTGGTTTTCCTCCAGGATTTAAAGTGGCCAGAGGTGTGATATACCTTGTGCTTCCTATTTGCATGCTGTGACATGCAGAGGTACCAAAATCAACTGAATAAGAGGACAATTCAGTATTTAACACTGAACAAAGATGGTATTTAACACTCAAATTACAGTATGTTAGCAGTATGCAAACAATTCTATGATTTGAAGCATCTCAGGCTACATTTGAATACTTTTACGCAGATAAAAGGGGAAATGTTCATCTTTCAAAGTTTGCAGGTTTCCAGCTATATCATCATGTGTGATAATAATAATCCTTGCATTTGATATCGCTTCACAGAATATATTGTAAAGTGAATTGACTGTATAATTTGATACCTCCCAACCTACTACACCAAACCTTTGCTTTAACCAAATATTTGAGTATTCCAGGTACACATTTACACCTTCAAATGTACTTATGCTAATTTCCATTGCTTGGGTGCTAAACAGTCAGTGGAATCTTTATGAGACAAAGAGGTTAGTTGGGTTCAATCTGGAGCTGTGAAAACATGAATAGTTAGCCAAGTCTTGAAGACACATTAATTAAAGAAAAACACCACAATGTTTCCAGTCCTCATCTTATCTGAAATTGCACTATAATTTAATACGAACGTGTAAGCCGCAACAAAAAGAAAAGTCCATAAAAACATTGCAGAGGAAAATGGTTCAGAGCGTATTCTCAGGCTTTGCCGACTCTCATCATGTCACAGAAGTATAACATCTGTTTTAAAGTGTTGAATGTGGTCTGGTGGTGCAATCGAGCCTGCATGAGTTGCCAGGAGTGTGGCAGGGCATGTCTTATGGAACTAATTATTTTGACTTTTCCAGCAATGCATTGGGTGAGGGAGAAAATAATCTGACCCTGTTGACTGACAGCTTATAGGTGTTAAACTGGAAATCTAAATTTGCCTTAAAATACGCTTGTGTTTTCACTTGATTTATTGAGCTATAAGTATACAGTATTGTACAAGCAAACAGATTGTATTTAACAGTGTAGAGCTGGCTGAATAAGCAGTGCTTATTTACTGGCTTCCCAGTGATGTGCAAATAGAGTGTGCGTGCAATAACATTTACAGATGAAACCTGCATTTCTTAAACCAATGATTTAAAAAGGTCCTAGTATTTTCTTAAAAAAACATTTAAGTTCTTCCCTGAACGTTTGCGGTAGCTCTCAAATAATGTACATATTAAATCGCATATTAGAAAAATAATTTGGGGGTGAACTGTTAATTATGAAGAAAAATAGAAGAGCAGGCAGGTAAAGATTTTTTGTTATTGTTAGTGTTTCTAAACATACTCTATATGTATATTTACAGTACATGCTGAGGGATGGATGCCAGTGGTCTGAAATGAAACTTCTACCCAAGACACAGCTAAGCAATCCCAAATAAATTGGTGTAGGTTGGGTGAAATGGGCCGTGGATTACAATGAGTCTCTACTGTAAAACCCATTTTAGAGGATCGCCTGCTGGCTGTGCAAGCCAAACATTACATTTCACATATTCCTTGTCCCTCTGGCCACTCTGAACACGACTGCTGATTAGTGCACAATTTGAAGACAGTTTCCACTGTGGGCTTGTTTTGATTGGTACTCATTTGGGCGAGTCTTGACTCATTGCACTTAAGGCCGTTAACATCCATCAGAGAGATTAAGCTATTAATCTACTGGGCTGGGGCTGGATTTAAACAAAGATGGTGCACAGATTGTCAGTGCTGTGAAAGCCACCAACTTCCTGTTTTGATATATTCTGTGTTGTCGTTGGACAAACAGATTAGCTGCTGCATTTGCCGATTTAACATTCACTCGATTTCTAATCACTTTCATATTTTGTTAAGGGCTTCGAGATGTTTGTCACCTGAAAGATGCTATACAAATGCAAATTATTATTTATCAAATTAATCTTATGGTGAATTATATCATAGAATGAAATTTGCACGAAATATTTTTCTGTTTTTCCATTCATTGATATCATCATCACTGATGTTGCTTGAAGTGTTGATCACAGAACCATGGACCTTTCAGTAAAGTGGGCATTCAACTCTGTTCCTGAGCCTTACCGTCAGTCCCACTGGATCTATATAATCCTTGCATTTGATATAGCGCCTTATGACGTCTTCGAGACGTCGCAAAGCACTTCATAGAATATACTGTAAAGTGAATTGATTGTATATTTTGTAGGCGATATAGCCTTTTTGTTAAAAATGTAGACTTTTTGTGGGAATGGGGGTGGGGGAAAGGAGTAGAAACATTTAAAGAGAATTGGCTTTAATTAAGCAGACTATTGACAATGGAATTAGATTACCAACAATATTTCCAAATATATTTAATTGAAAGTAGGTTTTTGGAGCAAGGCTGTGATAAACTTACCCGTGTGTTTTGTTTGTTTCAGAAGTCACTTTGGCACAGAAATGGCCTGTGGATGCTGAGGTTTCTCTTGATGAAATGAGTTGGATTGATGGTAAGGATGAGTGTCAGTCTAAATTATACTTTGGAGGTAGAGAGATTATCAATAATCATACATTTATTTATAATGTAGACTCAATAAAGGTTCTTTCGGTATCCAGCGGACAATCAAATATGAATAATGCCAAACATCTTTCTTTTTTAGCCGATGAGTGCTACATATACGATTGCCGATGTGGTGGTGAATTTATTCTTGCCAAGGAAGAAGCTGAAGAAAACATATCCGTTATCTGCTGCAACACTTGTTCACTCAGCATAGAGATCCTGAAAAGGAGTTGAGAACAAATGATCCTTTCAGCGTTTTAGCTTGGGAGATGCTGGTCAGAGCAGCTTAGATCAGCTCTAAGTACATTTGGCACTTATCAGCTCAGGTAACAAATCACCTCAACCCAGTCTCCACTTAGGGTTGCATTATACAAACACAACGTGCTTTATATCTTGCATGGAACCCATATTTGAGTCAATGTGAATTGCTAAATTCTATTCCAAACATTTTTTTTGTTTTTTTTTGCTTTCCTCGACCGTTTGTGGGACACCGCTGGGCGCAATTGGCTGCTGCATTTCGCCCACAAAGTACACAGCCAATCCACTTTACAGTATGTTCTGTGAAGCGCTTTGAGATGTCTAAAGGAAGTGATAAAGCGCTATATCAAATGCAAGGATTATTATTTCTTCCCAAAGAACTCTGAATTATAGATTTGGATATCAGGGTGTTAAAGGAAAAGCACAAAATCCACTTTTTGTGCAGTTCCTGTCAACAATGTTTTGCTGGCAACAGTTCGTTTCACTGGCTACCCATCATCCCTGATTCGTATTAATGGAGTCCTGTAGCTCAGTGGTTAGAGCACTCGCTTTGCAAGTGAGAGACCTGAGTTCAATTCCAGGCAGAGGGCGAAACCTTGGGCAAGTTTCCTTACTCCACAGAGCCTAATAATAATCCCTCCAAAACAAAACAAAAAACAATAATAAATTGGTCATTTTCAATCCACGACTGTTTGTGGGACATTGCTGTGCGCAATTGGCTGCCGCGTTCGCCCACAAATATACAGTCAATTCACTTTACAGTGTGTTCTGTGAAGCGGTTTGGGACGTCCTCCCGACGTGAAAAGCGCTATATCAAATGCAAGGATTATTATTATTATTAATAGTTACAAGTCATCAACACATATTTAGTCAGTCAGATGAACCACATCTCCTGTCCAGTAAGTTTGTTTGCCACACGTCTAGCTGCTTGAAACAAACTGACAGATTAAAAAAACTCTTTAAATTTATTTAAACATTTTTAGTCATAAATGATGCCATCAATTTAACCCTTTGATTCATGTCCCCGCACACACGATGTCATCGTGATTTTGGGGTTCCAGTGATAGCCATTATAAAATACCAATTTAATTTCTATGGAACAAATGCAACAATTTTCAAAATCTAACTTGAGAACGTTGCTCCTCATCCAGCTGTAGATTGTTTAGAGACAAACTGAAGCTCTCTGCCTCCCAAAATGGGTCTCATGTCCAACCTCAGAAGAGCACCCCTAATGTAGCCACATGACTATCAGCCATCCTGTGCCCTTTCTGAGTGAACTTGCCAATTAACATCAAATTAAGGACAATTTTGTGCTGTAAGCCCATGCCTCCTAGGAAACCGATAGAAATCGCCAAAACTTAGTTCACATCGAATGCTTAAAGCCAACAGACAGTGAGATGTTTTTCCTATCAAAATGCACTGGATTCAAACACAGGCCCCAGAGGTGAAGGGCCAATATTCTAACCCACTGCAGCACCCAGTCCCCTCTAGCTCTGTGTTTCACTCTGATTAAATCGAATACTGCCACTGTACTGTTCATTAACACATGGTCCAAGTCATCACTTGTACATGGAGGGAGTCTGATTATTTCTAGTCGTACAGTTGAAATCTATTGAAGCCTCTATACACAAAGGCCCTAGCAAAAGTAAACTTAAACCGAAGACTGCACCAAGTGTAACACTGCAGGAGATGACTTATTAATGACAACATTTTCCTTCGTTGCCAGATATTACCAGGGAACTGCATATTTCAGATTTAGATTTTATCTTTAACTTCTACAGAGTAAAAAGAAGTTATAATAATCAGTAAGAATGATTTTGTTTGCAGAAGCTAAAGGTGTGTTTCAGACTAATATTAATGATCATTGTGCTATGAGTATCTGTTCACGAATCTTAACTAATGAATCCTAACAAGCGAGAGGACCCGGATTTCATTCCTGGCCGGGGTGCAACCTTAGGCAAGTTTCTTACTAGACATGCCTCCTTTACCTAGCAGTTAAGTAGGAACTCGGTTATTAGTCGATTGCCAGATCGTTTTCCGGAGGTAAACCCCTACCCCCCCCACCCATAAATAAATAAAATTGGTCATTCACTTCATGGCTGTTTGGGGGACACTGCTGTGCACAATTGGCTGCTGCGTTTCGCCCACAAAATAGTCAGTCCACTTTACAGTATAATCTGTGAAGCACTTTGAGACGTCTCAATGACATGATAAGGTGGTATATGAAATGCAAGTGTTATTATTACAAAAGGTCAAGTGCTGTACTGAAGGATGTTGAAGCATTGCAGCTCTAATATGGAGAGTCTGTTCTTTGACAGTTGTGAGTTTTGTGTTTAGGATTGGCATTTTACAAACACATGGGTGGCAATTGATATTAAACTGTTTTGCAATGTTCTATTTATTTGTGGTAAAATGCCCCAAAAATATATCAACTATGTCTACTGATGCAGAAATGTGTTGTGTTGTCTTATAGTATAGGCTTTGTGATGTCTAATGGGGAAAGGCACTGCCTGTTTGTTGTACTAAGCCATTTAGACCAGTGAGTTAGTTGCAGGTTTGAATCTCCCGCTGCGCTGTTAGCTGATGTCTTCTGAGGGAACAGTAGGGTTCCACTATTGGGCCGGGAAGGTGAAAAATCAACCAGGTTCTGTTAGGAGAACCCAAGCTACAACAAGCAGGAAACTCAAGTGTATTTGCTCTTGTACTGTTAAAACTTTTTTTTAATCCAAGGAGAATTTCAGGAAAGTTCAGACAACACACTTAGTACTCTCAAACTAGTCTTTAGAATAACTCAAAGAATCCAATCTCTCACTTTCATCAACTCAGCACCTTTCTGCATTAACACAAGTACTCCAATATCATGCTGCCATTAATTATACAGATAAAAGAAAATTATGCATTGTGATCCCTGTATGGATTCTTGAATTAACTTAGCTGATTGCCACATCTGTTTAAATAAAACATAAAGTTTTGCTGATTAAATTAAGCATGTAAAGCCTACCACATTGGAGATAGAATAATAACATGAATAATAGATCGCATTTCTTCTGGACAATGAAGTTTTGCTGCAGTGTGAGAAACTCAATTATTTGCAGGCAAATAAATATTTCATTTGAAGAAAAAAAACCTTTGTTTTCTTGTGTCTTTTTAAACTGCAAAAGTACAATTTGGAAATGTTGAACATTTCCAAAAATAAAATAGAGCAGGTGAAATGTACATTTCCTAAACCCGGAAGCTGGTGCGTATGCTAATCATTTCTGATGGATGATCCTGAGCATCACTGCTGTACTCTATCTGCTGGATATATTGAAATTAAATATTTTGACATTTAGCACACGAGTTGTGATCAAAATATCACTTTATAGAATATAAGTATACACTTGATGTGGGACAAAGTCACAGGATGTATATGTAGTGTGAATGGTGTGGCATGTTGCAACAAATTATAAAATGGACAAGTGTACTGCTTCTATTTTGAGCACCGCGTTCAGAGCATGGGGTTGTGCCACAAGGAGGAAATCACTCATCAGCAGATGTAAGGAAGCAAGTCAAACGTTTGAAGGGATCAATCTTTGCAAGCACTAGAACTAAAGGTGAGTTTTGAAATCATGGAGACTTCCTTTCGCACATCAATGTGGAGAAAGAAACAGAACATTCAATTAGAGCTAACATAGTGTCAGAAGTGGGGTACAATAGAAACTTGCAATGCTCCAGGCATTACTAACTCCGACAATATGTCCTGTAGCAACTTCTCTTGGCTGTGAAGAACACCCCTTTAACCATTTCAAATGGATTTGGGATACTGTTTGTTTGGCTATTCGTCCTTAAAATGATGCCACATAAAATTGTACCACAATTACCTGTTATTACAGGGGAGTGAATGTGTGTGTGTTCGTGTGGCTGCATGAAAAAATGATCACTTGAAAGGAAATGGTCTTCAAACTATAATTTGTCCCTTTTGTAGCATAATTTATCTTTATTATAAACAGTTCAAGTACAGTGCATTGTTTCACAGAAACCACTAACACTTTATCCACTTGCAAAGTGCTTGTCAACTCTACGTTAGGAAAAGAACTGTTGGGCTTGTGATATGACAACCGAAGGAAAAATTCTTTCACTAAAAAACTACATATTCTTTGTCTACTTTGTTTTTGGGGAAGAATTCAGTCATTAGGGCTTTCTCGCAGAACACCAAACTCATGTAGAGGCCAAATCTGTAAGATAAAATCATACATACTGTAATTATTAGGTGCTTGAATGCTACTCTGGCTACATTTTTGAAGGCGTTGTATAAATTTTGGAAATTTAGAGCAACAGGAAATTTTGTGTAAATTTCTCTGCATGCATTTTTTTGTTGACTGAAAGTACACACTTGGACAATTAAACACTACTCTGTATGTCCGGAGCCACCATGATTTACCTTGAAACATGCACGACCCCGTATCAGTGCATAAGGAACTGGTCCATAATTTCTGGAATCAGTGGAATTGTGGAGGTTATCACCCTCCAGCCAAACATGGCCTTTTGGTACCTAAACCAAATAAAACAATTATCAAAAATGTTTAACTGAATCACATCGAGAAAATAAGTTAATCCAAACACATTCACAAACTAAACTGATAAGGAAAATAACATGGCTGTTTATCAGCCACTCTTTACAATGCTATTCTTTTACAACCAGCAGAGAAGCCCACGGCATTGATGGACCTCTGCACAGCCAGCGACTTCACTGCCGTCTGTCTGTCACACGTGCACTGCAGGCTGATCAATGACAGTGCCGTGTTCAAATCAATTGCACAATTGCAAAGAATATAGTAAAAAAAAATACTCAGTGAGGAAGGCACGTTGGCACATTAAATACCAAGACATTAGGATTAGAGTACACTAATACAGTGGAGCAGTTAGCAATAGTACAAGCACTAACACGTCACCAAGAGTGGGACTGAACCTCTTGGGACTATCCTTGGACCTATCCATTGTGTCAAATTTGGGAGGAAGGAAAAGGGATCACGTCAGTCTTTAGATATAGACAGAAATATTAAAGGTTTTATAATATTAAATTAAAATTAACACAAGTGCCATGGTCAAAATAAGATCAAAGCAGTTTGGTATTATCATGCATTAAAGAACAGGGCATACTTCTGATGTGGAAGTAAGACGGAACAATATTTTGGCATCAGTTATGAACAGATCATTAACACATTCTAAGAGTTTTGTAATGTGATTAAGGGTAATTAAACCATGATTAATGGAGCAGGATATGAGGCAAAGGTGAGCAAGGTCACCTTCCACCCAGTTGGGACTGTCAAGATCCTATCAAATTGATTCCAGAATAACTGCAAAATAACATTAGCAGTGGCACTGTTAAACTTTACCAGCCAGCAAGGGCCATCAATGTGGTCAACCAATTCTCTGCTATCCTTGCTCAATGCATGTGTAACTGGACGTAAACAGTAGGAGGTGTGTAACAATGTAAACTGCACATCCTGGGCAATGCTTGATTTTGAGTTTAAACTTTAGTAATCATTCTCTTAAACAGAAATGCTTCTGCTTTTCATAAAATTCAGAAACTACTTTTCACAGCAGCTGGTTCCTGACAATTTGCTCATCATCCTTTGTTGGACTCTGCTATTAATGTTACAATTAATGCAACAATTCCAGTATCCAAATGTTGGGTTTGACCCCAATGTCTTACTTGAGGGAATTAATAATGAGATTTGCACCAGCATTTCATGTGCATGACTGTGACATTGCCTATTGCGAGAATGTGTGATTGGACAAGAAAATTGACTGGGGAAACCAAATAGCATTCTTCATTGACACCAGCAACATTTTCAGTGGTAAAATTGATGGGCATTCATTGCGTTTAAAACTGGAGGCAGTCTGTGTTCTTTTATAAAATAGCTTTAGAAAACAGCGCACTTAATCAACATTGTTGTGCTGTCTTGAGTAAGAACGCTCTTGTGGGCTATTTTAACCCTCCTAAAGCAAATTATTGCTTGTGTTTATAAATAATTAACAGCCTACTGTAGTACAGCATCGGCTCAGACAATGAGAATATGTCAAGAGTGCTTGCTCTGTCCCTGGTTCTACAAAAAGCCAGTTAATGATATAAAACAAATTCGGGATGAAGCTACAAGGGTTAGAGCAACATGACAAGGTCATTAATTTATTAGACTTCAAAAGGGGTTATTAGAATTTTCATGAAAGATCTGGCCTGCTGTCACAGCCACAGCAGGAACAGGGCGGCCATACAATGATCAGCGTCCTGGGGCCTGCACCAAGGCTAGACCTGCCAGTGGGCCTGTGAAGAACCAAATGGTAATTGATTGTGACATCAATTATGAATAATCTCATCACTTTATCAGAGTGGGCTTGTCAGGGCTTTAATTAAGCCCACGGTTCTCTGTACATGCATCAGGAACAACACATTATATTCTAATAATGGTCATCAAGAACCAGCTAAGTCTCTTTTCATGTTTTGCAACTTAATGATCTAGACCTACAAATGACAAGAACCTCTAATTGCCTATATGTGGTGTGTATTATCATTGTTACAAATCAGAGGTTAAATGTTAGAAAAAACTGAGTGATGAATAAGGTCCAAAGGGTACCTCCATACCAGTATTACACGGTAACTCTGGGCTCAAAGGTATATGCACTAAATAAGTCAGATAATATGAACGCTGTAGCATGCAAACTGTTTCATTTAGAGCATTCTTATTAAGCAAATATCATTAGCAGTACACATACATATTGATTGGTAGTAATGTAGTCTGTAAATACCCAATAAATTAAGTTGTTAGTCTGTCTCTAGCAGGTGATAAGTGACCATTGATCTCCTTAGGATAGGGTCTACATTTCCGTAATAGCAACAAGAGTATGGAAAGGCTACCCAATCATGCTAACGGCACTGATCTTTCTATTGCAGTTAGTTTTCATGCATCACACTATAATGAAGTACAAGTGCAGACATTAAATTCTGTTTACTTTCTAATACAGTGATGCATCAATTTTCATGTTACCTGAGAAGTATGACAAAGGCACCAATTCTTATTAACCTACATATTCGGCATTCAAATTCAAATTTATTGGAAGGTCTGCAGAGTTGCACTACATCAACAGAGCAGCCCTCCAGATAAAAACAGCTGAACTTTCATTTCAACAAAAATTACCCTTCTACGAAAAAGCAAACATGAAAAAGTTAAATTTAAAAAATCTATGAAGGAAACCGTTGCAATGACCTTTGAGCTAACATTGGCACATCTGGCTTGGTGAAATGTTAATGGACAGTCAACAAGCCAACAACCGTAGCTTCTTCCAAACACAGCTCCTGTTTTCTTCCATCAGCTTAGCACTTGTCTCACTACAGGAACACATTTTTCAGTTCACTGCCAGCTACATCTCTGGACTTGCTCTGTTCACACGCAGCTTGTCCTCCGAGAAAACAAACAGGCAAGTATTTGCTAGTGTGTTACAATGCAGTTGATCAGCGCGCACGATAAGCTGCTGTACACTGTTGTACTTCTGGTAGTTATCACCTCGAATTCCCAAGCTAAAATTTAGTTTTTAAACAACTTGGAAGAAAAGTGCCTGCTCCTTTTATCTTGCAGCCAACACAATCCTTTCTGCCTTCATCATAGAGCACAGATCATTTATCCTCACTTGAAGTTCACACAGACATATACACATTCCAGCAGAAGTCACTGAACAATGATCAGGAGTGGGAAAGCTGGCATGATGGGCTATCTTTTTCTCCAATGGGAGAAAAATTCACCCCCATGTTTCTAAGGAATTTATTTCTAATGAATATGTTACAGCTTGCTTGCTTCTACAGATTGTCCCCGAGATGGAGATTTCCATGTTCACCATAACCAGCTGCTTGGAGCTACAATCCATTGCCTCTCTCCTCCTAAAATTGAGCTCTGTTGGTGTGCGAAGCTGCATTATTGTAGCAATTTGGTGAGAATCATCTACAAAACATTGAACATTTTCAATAGCGTTATACCCCGGTAATATGACTTGCAATCTTATTGTTGGGAACTCAGTACTGGAGCTGTTTAACTGTCAGACCAGTCAATACCAGAAAGGTTAAAGTTTGATGTCAAATGTCACACACAATCCAATACAGAGATTGGTTTATCAGATTAACTAGCTGTAGATAATGGGTTGTTGACAGAGATGAAATCTAGTTTTGCACACTAACTCCATGAATTGTGTGGGATTTTGTCTATATCATTTCAGCTGTGGATCATAATATCCCACAGTATTATAGCCGTTCTAATTTCTTAAAACTCAATTTTACAATATTTCAGAAGAAATTCAATATCAATATAGCTGTGTTTATATTGTTCCATTATTTCCCCCCCGACACCAACCTAATCGAATCCATATTTCACGTTTCTGGTATACACCTTAATTAGAGCCAATTAGATGACTAACTCAAAATGATCTCCACTTAGTGAAACTTAATATATCAGCTATAATAAAAGGAACCAGTCAAGTCCCTCATTAAGTTGGCTCATAATCTCCAAGCAGTGGAGGTTTTTGACCCGACTGGCCTTGGTAAAAAATCTGGACATTTGCTGCGCTGACTGACACAATAGTAGGATGCGATGGGAAGCCTACAACCAATGTCAAAAATCATCAGCAATTCCTGCAGAGCAGCTGATGAGATTTGACACATAGACAAGAAAAAATTGTGAACCTAGACGACATCTTTACACATCGCAATCAACATCTCTGGTCAGGTTCTCTGTCAAAGAGATGTTGAGTTTCCTCTCCTTTAAACTTTCCCGGCTGCACATATCTAAGTATCTACTGGTAATAATGTAAATTCAATTTAGTTTTCTGCAAATCAGACACTTGTATCCAACAAGCTCAAGGGTAGACAACCAATACGCACAGACCAATCATTGCAGAAAAAAAAACTTGAGAAACCTGAACAGATTTTGTGCTTGCAAACGTTCAAACTGATCCCTTTTCTTTTTAGGACTAGTTTCAGAAACATGTTTCAATTTAAAGGCTGGTCAAATGTATTTGGCCACCAAACAGTCAAATTTGTTTTTTGCAACCAAATATCAATGCTGTCTTTAGAAATATGGTTTTATATATTGTCAAGTTTGAGAAAATGCTAGTTCAGTTGACCCATTTCATTTTAAGTCTGGTGAAATAAACTTAACAAACATAGCCGCCAAAAGCTTAGATAACTGAGTGCAACAGTATGGAGCATTGGTTACCAGGATAATAACAACATGGACAACAACTTCATTGCAATTGCCATTGCTAACAACAGAAGTGTGTTACTTCGTTCATTTTGACACAGCCACAATTTCTTTTCATAGACGCTTTGCAAAGTTTATCCCATGGTTTCCATTTCAATATAACTGAAACTCAATGACCGGCCAAACAGACCCTGGAACCATAAAATATAAACACATCTGATCTCTTTTCACTTTTAGGGATATCAAAGGTAGAAAAATATTTCAGTTAGGGCTCCCATTCCGTTCTTCTTTAAACTCCAGCAAAACC